GTTCCAAGGCACGTGCTCTGTGGTCTTCTGAGATGACAAGTGAGAATCACACTTCCAGCACAGTGATGCAGGATGGAGCTCTTTGGAGCACCGGCTTTATACAGAGTGCTCCTCAGTTTCTGACTTGGGTGGTTTTGGCACTGAAAGCCTGGGGAAACTGAAGCTTAGATTTTTTTTTTCAGTGTAACAAATTCACTTAGGGAGACATAATTTACATGCTATGTTATACAAGTGTGTGCATAGTTTAACCATCTTTTAGTACATTTACAATGCCGTGCAGCCATCCATACAAACCGGTTCGGGGTAGCCCAAGATTGGCTGTGCTGGTTGTCTTTGTGACTGACTGCTCTACCAACTGTTGACAATGGATGGGTTTGACGCTATTGTCAGAAGTTACAAGAAGTTACACTTGTAACTGTTACCTTATCTGGTAACTTTCAGTTTTCATTTGTAAGTAATTTCAGTTTTCACTGTGAGTATGAGTGCTGCCTCTTGTAGCCCACACAGCTGAGCTTTCTAGGCAGCCCACCCTGGCAGAGCTAGCATGGAAGGGAGCTCCATGGGGCTTGAGACAGCTCAGGTGAGAACAGCACAACTGAGTTCAAGCTCAGTAATATCTTTTTACATTTTTGGCCAGTTTTCGGGCTTGAACTCAAGGGCTGAGCACTGTCCCTGAGCTTCTTTTGCTCAAGGCTGGCACTTTACCCCTTGAGTCACAGCACCACTTCCGGCTTTTTCTGTGTATGTGGTACTGAGGAATGGAATCCAGGGCTTCCTGCATGCTAGGCAAGCGCTCTACCACTGAGCCACCTTCCCAGCCCAAGTTCAATAATTTCTTATAAAAAAGTGATGGCATTCCCCCCATCTCAGGTCCTCAGCCCCTCCCACTACATTTCCCGGGGCAGCTTGTACCCAGACCTGAACTCCTCCCTGCTCTGGAGCTCCTGCCAGGATAGGTGGGCACTTCTATTTTCTGCCCAGACCTACCTGTGCACACAAAGGACCTCCCCTTCTAGCCTGGAGTTACAAGCTACCACCTGGATGGGGACAGATGCCATATTTCTCCCTCTCCCGTGGGGAAAATGGCCCCATCAATAAACCTCTTTATAATCCTTCTCCTTATGTGCCTGTCTCTGTGTAATCTTCCTCCTGTGTGTGACTGTCTCCGCATTGTCCCCTAGGACCGCTGGGATGGATTCTAACAAAAAGTTCTCAATTTAGCCAGGCTCCAGTGGCTCACGCCTGTAATCCTAGCTATTCAGGAGGCTGAGATCTGAGGATTATGATTCAAAACCAGCCTAGAAAGTCTGTGAGACTCTTATCTCCAATTAATCACCAGAAAACCAGAAGTAGCACTGTGGCTCAAGTGGTGGAGTGCTCACCTTGAGCTGAAGAGCTGAGGGACAGCGCCCAGGCCCAGAGTTCAAGCTCCATGACAGATGACTGACCCTCCCCCCCCCCAAAAAAGTTTCAATTTGTTGTTTGTCTCTGATTTCTAGAGAGCTGAAAATTTTATTTATTTTTACAAACTTGTGTGCCCTCAAATCTTCTTTTCTGGGAGTAGTGTGTCAGCATCATAACTCCACAGCTAGAGATCACTTACTTTGACTCAGCATTTTGCTAACTAAATTCTTACTAACATAACAGAGCTTAGGAGCTTAAAAAAAAAAAAAAACTCTTTACCCAACATTTTTAGTTGGAACACTAGTCTGGTCTGGGTCCCCGGCCAGCTATGCAGAAGGGAGTAACACTTTGTCCATATTTATGACTACCCAGGGAAACTTTGTACAAACAACTCCAGCAGAGCATCTCTGTTAGTCGGTGTCCATCACCAAGATGCAGTGCCTGGGGTAAGCATCTCACAGGGAGGAAAGCTTTGTTCTGGTTCACAGTTTCAGAGGGCCCAGCCTTGTTCTTTTGGGCTTGAGGTGGGAAAGGGGGAGAGGAAAAGAGAATGGAGGGAGGGAGAGAAGGAGAAAGAGGAAGAGAGAGAGAGAAGAGAGAGAGACAGAACTGCTGTGTATATGACTTCCTCCCATACTGCGTCTAGCACCTCTCTCCAACATCACAGCTAGTGGCCAGCTTTTAACATATGAGAATTTGGGGGACACCTAGACTCAAACTGTAATAGTCTATAATATAAATGGCTCCGTAAATAGCTGCTATAATGCCTAGATGCTTATTCTTCGGGTATTGTAATACGTTACTTAATTTAATCTCAATAACTCTAAGTAGGCAGGCCAAATTTAATATAAATAATAATATTAGAAAGATTTATGGGGCCAAGATTAGTGATTGGTAAAGAAAGGATTTTAGTCTGAACCTACTGAACTCCCAAACTGGGTTATTCCCCACTCTAGGTCAAGCCTCATGGGGAAGGGCATGGGCGGGGCTCTCTGGGGGATTTCTGGAATCTGTCTAGGAGGGGGAAGAATTGTATTTACTACATGGAGTAGGGAGAGGTCGCACCATTAGATTGTCAGTGACACTGGGGGTACTATAGTTCCCCCAAAGCAGATAGGGCTTCTGCTCTAACAGTGAACCAAAATTATAAGGTACCCTTGGGTAGTGTTTTAGGGTTGAACTGTATATGGTATTTGCCCAAATTCCAAATATATACACAATGGACAGTGAAATATAAGAACACCACAAAATCTTAAACAATGGAACTCCATTTCAAAGCTTATAAAATGAGTTTGGGCTCTTTGGGTTGAACTTTACAAGGCAGCAGATCTACCCCCTTTTTACAGGGCACAAAGCGGTCCCCAGTTCTGAATAGCAAATAGCTAGGCACTGCATTTTAAGCCCCCAGTAATACTTTTCTGAGTCACCCTTTCACTTCCAATTCCCTGTTGTCATTGATGTACTCCTTTTCTGTGGGTGCCAGTCCTCAGGGCCTAGGCACTGTGCTCAAGGTCAGTGCTCTGCCACACTGAGCTACCTGCACACTCTCGGTGTTCTGGTGGTTTACTGGAGACGAGAATCTCATGGACTTTCCTGCCTAGGCTGTCTTTGAACCATGATCCTCAGATCTCAGCTTCTTGAGTAGCAAGGAATACAGGTATAAGCTACTGGCACCGAGCTTGATTTGTTCTTTATATCATCACTTCACTAATATTCTTAAATTATGCTGGTTCTGTATGATTTCTCCTTTTCATGATCATTTTCTTAATTCTCTAGCTCATGTCTTCATAACCTGCTTCTCAATTTTCCTATAGTACTGGCTCTCACAACTGTCCCTATGGGTTCATTTGCTTGTCTCTTTTATCTTCTACTCGTATAATCCTCATTCTTACCTCTCATGCTGCTTTCCCGCTTGCTCTTCCCTGCCCCTCCCTGAGCCCCCTTTCTGGAAGACTATACTTGTTTTCTATTTCACCTACAGGAATTTTATAGTCTGTTTAGAGCTCTATGCCATGAAGTATTGGCTTCCAAGTGTCTAAAAGACGTATTTGCCCATACAAATTACCAAGAAACACCTGATCATTTCACCCCACATTTAGCCTAGCCTGTGGCTCCACATTTCAGGATACCTCATTCTGGTTCAGTTTAGACATCACTTTCGCTTTTGGGTTGTCCTAACTTCAATTTTCTTAGTAGATCAACCCTTTACTACCGTGAGCAATTTACCTACCCTACGCAATTCATCACAGCTTATAGCTATTATTTCTTCTTAGGCCATGACATAGCATATGATCTTAAATAAGGAATATTTATTCAAAGGAAAAAATTATGTGAGTCTCATAACTGAAGTAGTCATAAGTTATGTTACACAATGTTCTTGCTCTTAAAACCATTATTAATACATTGTACAGTGAGTACATGAAATATTTTCTTCATGCTGTGTGCAAACAGCCTAGAGATATCAGCCTTTCTTCAGTTTTTTTTTTAAAATTTCTATTCAGATGCTTGGTTTGCTTTTAACTCACATTTCATGGCTTCCCTTGTGTTTCTTTCCCATATTTCTGTCAGTTATCCACAGTGCATATGGGAGGAAATAAAGAGTTGGCACAGTTAACCATTTTAGGAGTCTAATCAGCCTCCTGTACACAGGCTTTCCCAAACTTAGGGAAAGGGCAGGGTAGGGAAGGAACCGAGGAAGACGGGGGGGGGGGGGGGGGGGGGGGGGGGGAAGGGGAGGGGGGGCAAGGGAGGAGGAGGGGAGGGAGAGGGAATGCACTTAGAAGAGCAACAGGCGTAATAAACCCAGGAGAGCAACAGGCGTAATAAACCCAGGAGTAAAGCCAGAACTACAGGGGGTGTCTGGAATTTTACCCACTTTAGTAGAGGTGCATTGAATTCCTTCACCAATCCCTGTGGTTAGAGTCAGACCACACATGAGCAAGAGACAAGGAAAATGCATTCAGCTGAACATCAGTGGCAGCACCTCTATAGACTTGTTCGGGTGAGTAAATGAGGAAGACTGGCAGAACCTGCAACCCAGGCTTACTACTGCCGCCCTTTCTTCTAATGGCACACAGTGGTTCACACCCCACACCCAATCACTCAAAGTGTTAAAGACTTATTCCCATTTCACAGTATACCACCTGGCAGTATTTAAAAAGATGTATCAGTTTCACTCCAAGGCACTCAAATATGCTCTTTTTTTTTTAATAGTTTATTATTTTTTTGGGGGGTCCGGTTGTGGGGCCTGAACTCTGGGCCTGGGCTGTCCCTCAGCTCTTCAGCTCAAGGCCAGCGCTCTACCACTTGAGCCACAGAGCCACTTCCGGCTTTTTTTCTTTTTGCATATGTGGTGCTGAGGAATCGAACCCAGGGCCTCATGCATGCAAGGCAAGCGCTCTACCACTGAGCCACCTTCCCAGCCCTCAAAAATGCTCTTAATGGACTTCTATTTAGTCTTATTTGACAGTGTTCTAGAAAATTAGAAAAGAGGAAACCCTTATCCAGTGTTTGAATTAGAAGGAGAGTACCTCCCTTCACTTAGAGGCTGAGGAAGGTGAAGGTGTCATGAATGGTAGCAGTGTGCTGCTTCTTACCCAGAACGTAGATCTCGCCGCTGGCCACAGCTGCACTGAACCGGTACTTGGAGTACTGCATGGGTGGGAGCTCTTGCCATTGATCCTGGGTGGGGTCATAGCGCAACAGCTTGTTGCTTAATCTATCAGGCTCTTCCTCGGGAAGATCCATCTGTGTGAAATATGACAGCCAATGGAACAATGTATCATTTCGCTGTCTTTGTGAATAATGGTGGCAATTAATCAGAACAGACAGTGGAGGAGATAAGTAGAGGTTAACTGTATGGCTCACATTCAAAGTCATACCACTCTCTGGCCTTAGAGTTATAAATACACAGTCAACATCAGGGGAATTTATATATTCTGTAGTAATGGGACTAATGTGCAGGGTTAAGAGGCTGTAATCAGTGATTTTTAACAGCAAAATACTTTTTAAAAAAATGAAACAATTGGAAAACCTTAAAAATGAAACCAAGGTCTCTTGTACTCTTCAAAGTAATATTCTATTTTTTTTTTTGGGGGGGGGGGGTCTGGTCGTGGGGCCTAAACTCTGGGCCTGCACACTGTCCCTCAGCTCTTCAGCTCAAGACAAGCGCTCTACCACTTGAGCCACAGCACCACTTCCAGTTTTTTTCTTTTTTGCTTATGTGGTGCTGAGGAACTGAACCCAGGGCCTCATGCATGCAAGGCAAGTGCTCTACCACTGAGCCACCTTCCCAGCCCATAATATTCTATTTTTACCAAACTTTATAATTGTAGATTCTAAGATCTTTGTGAGAAACTAATTTTAGTAAGTCATACTTTATATTTTTCCAGTCTAACAGTTTCGCAAACATTTATGTTTTAGAATTTTTACATCACAATTATGTGAATGGTCTGAATTCAATTTCCAAGGTATATAGATTAATACAATTTATTTAAGGATATTTTATATATCCACTTTTTTAATGACTAGAGATAGTAAAAGTGAAATAATTACTCTGACACAAATGTAAATAGCTTCTACTTATAAACATTAGGTGAAATACTTTTTGTATATAATTTACATGAAACTTTTATGACTTAAGCTAAGATCTAAGTATTCAGCAAAGAAATAATTACCATACTTATGAAAATTATACACAATTTTAAAAGACTAAGAATTATGATCGCCATAGTGCACTGATGGCCCATTTATCTTGCAATTATAATAAAATTTATTATAATGTATTATAAATTTATAAATGTGATCAGATTAGCAAAAGCCTTTGTTATGTAATACATACTCATGTTGTCTGTTCAGAGACTACAAAATTAGTAAATATTTGCTTTTCCTTCTAATATAAGTATTTAATCTCCAGTAAGAGAAAAACCTGTCAGCTGTTTTTGGAGCTCATTCATGCAAATTAACTATGTAAGTGGAAAAGTTTAAAAAATATTTAACTACAAATAATGCATCAGTCTTCAGCTACTGTGATGAACTCTGTACTGCTTTTGGATCTAAAGCACAAATAAAAATGTCACAAAAATTTTAAATGTATGAATAAAAAATAAAGTATGAAGCTTAGGCTTTGAAAAGTTACGATATACTTGTAAGCAGCAGAAATCAAGCTTATGAAATGGATGCAAAAGTATGAGTTGAACCATGAAGCAACTCTAAAGAAACAAGACATAATATTAGGCAAAAATGAATTCACTTTTTATCGGGGAGATGGCCAATGAGCTAGTAAGACTCATTCCTGTAAGAAAGACAGGAGGCCAGGCCAGGCTGGAGAGAGGACTATGAGTGTCCTAGGCCCCAAGAGGAATCATAAGCAGGGGTTACTGTGGTCACACAGCTTACTGTTTAGCTTTGGCTTGCCTGACTTTGGCCTCTCTCTCTCTATATAAACAGTATTCTGGTTTTTCCATCTGTTGATGCACAGAAAAAAATCAAGCATTTATAATGAAAACATCTTTCTTGGAAGTGATGGTGCTGTACCTCACAGAATCTGTGCCTCACTTTCCCATCTGCAGTTAGAGTGTTAAGTGTGGAAAAGACCTAAACGTGCCTTGCCCTCGGTCATACAGCTGTTGGGCAGGCGGCCTGGGATGCGGCCGCTGCCATCCACTTAGATGTTCCAGGAAGAGGACCCTTCCCCACAGCATCTGTCATAACTAGCAAGAATGGCAAGGGTTGTGAAGAATGAATACTGAATGAACTTCTGTCTGAAAAGCACACTTCAGAATCCATTCTCCTAAAATTGCTTTGCTACTTAAAACCTTAGTTTGTATTTTATGAGATGTAAGACATTTTGCAAAATGTAAATCACACTGTTAATATCCAACAGCTATGTTTTTCAGCAGTCAGACTCTCCACAGACATGCCAATTAGATACGTAAGAAGTTTCTTAACCTGAGGGGTCCAGCCTCCAATCACATAAAGTTTATTATTCACCGTCAATACAGCATGACAGGCTAACTGTAATGGCAGGGGAGATACTCGCTTCCAGCTGTCCCGTTCTACAGAGTACTTATCAACACAGTTTGTAATAAGATACTGGTTTTTTATTTTCATCTGTCCTCCGACAACATAGAGGTCATTCTGAATACTGCCCAGAGCATAGAGTTCCCGAAATTCAGTTGTGCATAATTTTTCCCAAAACTGGTTTCCTCTGTCATGATACCTGTAAGTTAAGAGAAAAAGAACCCAGGATTAGGATTAACTTTAAAACAACTCACCCAAGAAATATATTTACGTTTCTTTTCCAACTAAACACAATGAAATCTGTCTAGTTCAAGGGCAGAGGCATTTAACACAAGATAGTGGTATTGACTCACTTTGTATTTTTAGGGACTGGTGAATAACATATAGAATGCTGAAAAACGATTAATGACATCTGCTTTAAACATCTGTAGGAAAAATAATACACACAAAATTATAGATTATCTGAGACCTGCCGTTACTTCAAGAAAATCAAGAATTGGAAAGACTTTCAACACATCATTTATTTTATCATGAAAGAATCAGTAAAAAAGAGATAATGATACAAAATTGTCTTACACCATGGAAATAAAGTATCACTTTAAAACCAAATTTAAAAAATCATGGTTTGAGGGCAGAAGATCTAAAAATACTACAGCTTAGGATTTCTAACTGGGTAAGCTGAAGGAGCTAGAAAACTAAGAATTGCTGCAGTTTTAACTGGCTTAAATTGGGTCATGAAAATGGCATAAAAATTCATCTGTAGATGTCTGTTGGGCATTGAACATCTATTTTAACCTGTGTATGTTAATTGTGGCCACTTCTTTCATGAATAGTTATATTGGTGAAGGAAGTCTTGGGAGAAAGACATTCGGGGCACACAGATGATTTCCTGACACCTCCCAGAATCCAATTCACAGCTGATTATGGGAGGTGTGAGTACACTAGTCACTGACTGTACAGGCTTATGGATATACTTTACTGTGCTGCATGATTATGGTAAGTGTAATGTTTTAGTTTTTATTTTGTTTTTGGGTCAGGTCGTGGGGCCTGAACTCTGGGCCTGGGCTCTGTCCCTCAGCTCTTCAGCTCAAGGCTAGCACTCTAACACTTGAGCCACAGTGCCACTTCTGGCTTCTTTCTTTTTGCTTATGTTGTGCTGAGGAATCGAACCCAGGGCCTCATGCATGCAAGGCAAGCACTCTACCACTGAGCCACCTTCCCAGCCCCAAGTGTAATGTTCATATTTTATTTAGACAAGGTCTCCCTACGTAGTCCAGGCCGGCCCTGAACTTGTGATCTACCTATTTCTCCTCCCAAAGGTTGTTATTATATAAGTTGACCAGCATGCCTGGCTGGTAAGCACTTTTTCCATAACTTGATAGTCTTAAAATATGTGGACTAAATGTTCCCATAAAATCTAGAAAATATGCCTGGAATTAAAAATAAAACCATGAAATACCAGGGAAATACCACAAAAAGGTGCTATTTGGAACACAAGAATAAAATATGTTTTTTTTTTTGTTTTTTTTTTGCCAGTCCTGGGGCTTGAACTCAGGGCCTAGGCACTGTCCCTGAGCTTCTTTTGCTCAAGGATAGCGCTCTACCACTTGAGCCATAGTGCCAACTCAGGTTTTTTTCTGTTTATGTGGTACTGAGGAATCAAACCCAGGGCTTCATGCATGCTGGGCAAGCACTTTACCACCAAACCACATTCCCAGCTGCAGGACTTATGTGTTTTGTTCAGAGTTCAGTTTTAGAGTAACCTCTGACAGATAATCATGTAACAAGCATTTCTTCATTTGTCCTGACCCTCACTCCTCAGAGAAAGCACTTGGCTCCAGGATTGCCAGGGAAGCTGGATGGGGTAATCTTTCCCTTGAACACAGTTTGTCAGGGCTGACTGCAGAGACACAGCAAATCTTATGATGTCTGTCTTCTAGGTATTTTAAGGTAGGAAGGCAGTCCCTAGAACCACAGGGAGTATTTTCACTACTATTTTTAACTGTATGGATTTGAGGAGAGAGAAAGATTAAGAATCTGTATGGGGCTAATGAGACAAATTAGTAGAATGAATATGTACCTAGTTCAGAAAAATGGGTTTTGGTTTTCTGTGGCAAAGTTTAAGAAAACAGGCTTGAGTTGAAATATACCCTACCAAGATTGAGAAATACATGTTTTCTGGGTGAGTTGCTATTTAACTTTTGTAATAATACTTTGAACTAAAATGGAGAAACAAAATGCCCACAAAAAACTCTAAAACTTACTAAGAAAAATGGATATAGCAAAAAAAAAAAAGGATATAGCTGTGTCTGGTGGTGCATGTCTGCGATCTCAGTACCCAGAAGGCAGAGGCAGAGGATCAAGTTCAAGGCCTTACTGTGAGACCATTTCATGGTATACACCTGTATTATTAGCTACATGGGAGGAAATAGGTAGGCAAACTGTGGGCAAAAACACAAGACACCATTCAAAAAATAATGAAAGCAAAAAGAGTTGGAGTGCCTTCTGAGTGCCTACCAAGCAGGGGATCCTAAATTCAAACCTGGTCTGCCATAAAACTACGGGAAGAATACAGTAATTTAAAAATGTACATTACTTCATCATCAATGCTGTATTATGCTTATGCCTTCTCAGGAGCCTTCAGGGTAGTTTTCATTATGTATCATTTAAGATGTGACGACCCTCTCAGTAGTATTTTCTTCTACTGTTGCCAGTGTCAAAACAGGATTTTAAAAAAGATTGCAGATAGATACAAACCTATAGATTTCCACATTCTTATTCTTTTGTCTTGAGAGCCTGGAGGCGCTTGCTTCTCCAGCCACAATAACAGTGTTGTTTTCCATGACGACACCAGTGCACACAGTTCCTAAACCATCCCCATACTTGGGGGATGAAATAAAGTAGGTCTTCCGTGACACAGGGTCGAAGCAAAAACTGGCATCCCCATAGTTCCTATGTCGTGACCTGATTCCTGAAGCGTTGTTGCCAATACAAAGCAGAAGACTGGTGGTTTCCATGCCATAGCGAAGGTTCAGGGGGTGCTGCTGGGGTGTCTTGCTGGCTTTGAATGCATTTTGAATGATGTCAATGCAACCTGCGTCACACAGAAGCATTGTGTTCCTTTTTAGGGCCTGTCTTAAGAAAGAAGGATTTATAAGTTCTAGCCTGACTTGCTTCAAGAGTTCAACAAGATGCTCTTTACGCAATTCTTGGTTATGATTTACCCATCTTAGAACCAAGTCCAGAATGCTCTCCTCCCTGGAAATGTTTAGATCATCTGATTTAATAAGTGCCAAAAGCTGGTGCACTTCAATGTCTAGTATTTCTTCATGTAAGCTCACCTCGGCAAAGTGCTGATATAAGTACTTCTTTGACTGGTCAGATAAATCTTCAGCTCCAATCTGATTTGCGAAGTAGTGGATTCCTACACAGTTGGAGGCATCCATGTGGTCCATCATGTATTTTTGGCATACACTAAATACTTCTTCCATCTGCATGAAATAGGCAGCTACAGCCACGGTCTGCACGTTGGTGTTGCTGATCTCTAAAGCAGCACTGTACATGTAATTTAGTATCACTGACACACTTTCTGCTGTGATGTCATGGAGTACGACTTCCCTCTGAGTACATTCAAGTAGTCCACAGGTGAACATAGCTTTGAAATAGGGACTAAACGCAGCCAGAACCAGTCTATGGCAAGGAAATTTCTCCTCTTCTGCTATGAGTACTACATCAATCATTTCTGCAAATTCTTTCATGTTTTTAATTCTATTCAGTAAATTTAAGCTATGCTGGTATTTTTCCTTTCCCTCAATCTTGTACTCCATGACACTCTCTAATTTCTACGCGTCTTCTTTAAGTTTAGCTTGATTCCTGAAGAGCTATTTGCATTTCTGATTACTCACAAATAAACAGATGCCATGAAACAGTCCTGAGGGTAAGAAAAGAAGCAGTTTTTCTAAGAAAAAAATGTGCCATAATTGAAATATGCCATTAGTACTATGAAGTATTTATTAAGTATTCATTCCAAGCAGAGAAGTTTAACTACTTTTTTAATGAAAATGACTTTGATAGGTAATCTGCAAATTATTAACTGCTACCACTACTGCTTTTCTGACCTGCAGGGGTGAGGTCTCCTCACCCCTGCCACCATACCACCTAGTAGTAGATATTTTCCTAGAATTGGACATTTCATCTTCCCTCTGTGTGAACAAAGAAAAACAGTCTCGTAAGATGAACACATTTTACTAGTTACTGAATATGGCTGGCTGGCAGGCAGGCAGAGCACACAAGGACATCAGTATTCTAAGAAGGTATAGTATCACTCCCAAGGTTATAGCCACTGCCTCCAGAATATATACCCAATGGCCAACTCACAAAACCACAGCAGGACCATCCATCCCCTGAAGTGGGATGGCTGAGGGTCCACTAAAACTGCACTCAAGCTTTGATATGGGGCAAATAATTCAAACTAGTAGAAAATAACAATTTTCCCTTTTATCAAGTGTTGGAAAACACAAGCAAAATGTCTGCTGACCTGAGAAATTTGTGACCTTTGAAACGTAATCATCCTACACAAGATACTACACAGAAGCCTTCCTGCTTCTCTATCTTTCCTCCTGGCTCAGCTCTATTTTGTTCTCTATTTCATAGTGTCAGAGACTGAATTACATCAGGCTTTCCAAAGCACTGGTCTAATTAAAAGTGCCTTTAAGCTAGTGGAGTCATCTTTGCCTTCCCGGGGGCAGTGGAAACGGGGGGTTTCGAGGAAGTTAATTAGCTGCTTTGATTTAAAGGACTTTCCCAGAGTCAGAAGCCCCCTTCTGAGGGGAGGGAGGGTCTCCAGGCGCCCTTTCTTGCTCTTACTTGGCTGTAAATGGCAGAAGAGTTAGTACCTGGAGTTAAGAAAGGAGAGGCAATTATTTCAATAACAAGAACTCAAAAACTGTCAGCTATACAGGCTAGAAAATTTCTCACTTTCTGTAACCCTGAAAAAAGAATTAAAAATCTCACCGGAAAGGGCAGTTTTGTGTGTGTGTTGAATTAACAAATTTATGCATGATAGAAATGTCCAATTGTAGAATGGCAACTGTAAGAGCTAAGAAACACTGTGCTGAAGTTTGTGTAATTAGAATAACCAGTCAATCTCAGAAGGTGTGCATTTCAAATAGCAACAAAACCCTCCCTGCTGGATTTTCTGGCAATAATGATTCAGTCTTGTTTCAGTAAAACATAAGGCTTTCTTGGAAAGGCCTTGCTGGTGAAGAGTGAACTTTTGCTTTGGTTTCTATTTTTTTGAGAGAATTCTACCATGTGCAGTTAAGAGGCCATTGTATTTCTCAACTTCTCTGACACTATGACTAGCTCAAATCATATAGCCTTCTTGACACACAACCATACCAAAGTGCTTTACACATGGCAGCTGCTATGTGGAGCTGAAAAGAATATAAGCCTTTCTCCCAGCACTGGGAACCAAATTTGAGGCTTTACATGTTAGGTAAACTCACTACTACTGAGTTACATCCCCAGTCCAGAAAACAGACCTTCTAAGGAAATAAGTATTTTTAAATGTTTATTATTCCATTAGTGTTGACGTAAGAATCCCCCAAAGGTCACAAGGCCAGAGGACCACGTGCAGGTCCTCACTGCAGCCACAGCAGGCATTTCCAAACCACTTCCCAGAGCCCTGATCTTGACAGTGTTAGGAGAATGAGGATGCTGAAGACCCAAATGTATTGACCAAACCCTCTAATTTTCTATCTTTTAGACAGAAAGCAAACTGCTTTTGAGAGACATTTCAGCAAAAGAGCTATTTTAATTAAAGCACAGGTAAAAGTAGTTTCAGATGTTAGGTTGAAGCCGGGCGCTGGTGGCTCACGCCTGTAATCTTAGCTACTCAAGAGGCTGAGATCTGAGGATCGCGGTTCAAAGTCAGCCCGGGCAGGAAAGACTGTGAGACTCCTATCTCCAATAAACCACCAGACAACCAGAAGTGGCGCTGTAGCTCAAGTGGTAGAGAGCTCGCCTTGAGCTGAAGAGCTGAGGGAAAGCGCCAAGGCCCAGAGTTCAAGCCCCAAGACCGACCAAAAAAAAAAAAAAAAAGATGTTAGATTGAAATAAGTAGTTAATTGTGTACTTATTTTCTTTCTAAACATGCTCTAGGTAATCTCATCCTCAGCTTCCTATGGGTGGTGTGGGTGTGACTGGCAGTAGATGGCTCCCATTCCCATCATGGCTGACTCAGGGCCAGCCAACATGAGCTCAGGTCTCTGGCTCAAGGATTGGGATGCCCGTGGGATGGAGATGAGACGGTGGCCACAGCTGGAGACATGCTCCTATCAGCCGATGAGGACATAACAAATCTAGAGAACAGTGTGGACTATCCATAGTAATGGAATTTGAAACAGGCTTTATAGTTTTGAGATAGTTTAAGTTGGTTTGAATTAGGATTGCTGTGGTGTATAATCAAGCATCTTTATAGTTTTGTGTAAGTGGTATGTGCAGAACTACTGAGAAAAGTTGCCTAAGGTAGTTATAGTTGTACATCATATGTCCTTGTCATGTTCTTACATTTTCTGTTATCATACTGTCAGCAAGAAGAGCATAGAAACCTCTTGTCTTCATTTTTCCTTGATAAAAAAGCATTAATTACTTGTCACTATTCTGTTTGCTTCTCTGATGAAATGGCCAGAACTTCTTTTACAGATGAAGGCACCGAATGATGAATCTAATTCCATCTAGCTCCAGCATCTGCACTTTAACTCACTTACTCCAGTGCAAGGGTCAGCAAACTAGGGCCTGAAAGTAAATATTTAGACATTTTAGGCCAGATGGTTTCTGTCACAACTACTCAGCTTTGCTATAACAGCACAAAACAGCCATGAACAAAAAAAACAAATGAACATGGCTATATTCCAAAAAAGATTTGTTATATATTAAAGCCCGAGTTCACATATTTTCACATGCCCTGTTTTCATTGTCACAAAATACTCTTTTGATTTTTCAAGTCATTTAAAAATGATGAGATCTATTCTTAGCTAGTAGGCTGTAGGAAAACAAGTGGCAGGTTGCTGACTGCTGATCTAATGTTATAAATAAACCGGTTCTCTCAACTGTGAGTATGACAACACCCTGTCCGGTTGACTAAGCTACATTTCCCTTAAGTGCAGCTGAAGGATTTGGAGAAAGTGGTCCTGTTTTTAAAAAGATCCTTTAGTTCTCAGATATAAAACAATTTATTGGATAAATACTGTCCCTGGATGTAGTTCTCTGCCTCAAATAACTGACTTTGAAAAACAACAAAAACAAGAACTTTCTTAAATATAGAAATAACTGTTTCAAATATTCTAAAGAAACATTTTACTTTTTTTTTTTTGCTAGTCCTGGGGCTTGAACTCAGGGCCTGGGCACTGCCCTGGGGGCTTGAATTCAGGGCCTGGGCACTGCCCTGAGCTTCTTTTATTCAAGGCTGGCACTCTACCAATTTGAGCCACAGTGGTGCCACTTCCAGGTTTTTCTGTTTATGTGGTACGGAGGATCAAACCCAGGGCTTCATGAATGCTAGGGAAGCACTCTACTACTAAACCACATTCCCATTCCTACTTTTTTTTAATGGACATACATGTTTCCTAAGTATCCCTTCTTTCCACTTGCCTGAAAACTACTCTAACTGGTATGGATTAAATGCATTTACAGATGAGAATCCTGAAAAATGCCTGCGAAGTTAAATTAGCCACTATATTCACAGTATTGTCTTTTGAGAGTGCATAGAAGATACTAATATGGCAGATGTGGCCTCTGAAGCGAGGAATTCTGGATTTGAATCTGAGTTGACTGCTAACTTGCTATAATCTTAAAATTATTCAACCTTTCTAATCTTGTTTCCTTCATCTGTATAATGGGGTGTATACAGTATATAAGTAGTTGTTAGTTTTTGCCATTCAAGTGTTCAATAAATACACTTTACAATGAATGTAGCTGAAAGGTTAGGAACAGGGATGTAGACTTGGTTGGGTTTGCATTATTGAGCTCTGGGTTTGAATTCTTGTTTTAGTGTTGAGTAATAGGACCAAATTTCTCAGCCTATTAAGTCTAGTTTTCTCAGGTGGGATTTCTCTTGAGAATTTTATTAAGAATAGCTGGGAGAAAAAAGGTCATTCACCTACAATATGTGATTTGCTTAGTAAAACTTACTTGGTAAAGTTGATGAAGGATATACCTATATGCATGTTTTTCAAACAGAACAGTTATTTGGTTTTGTATACAAATCACTTGTAGACACACATATGGCTCATAAATGAAGAGAGATGGCATCAACTTTTCCTCATAATGAAGGCAGAGTGCATTCTCCTTTCATTAGCAAAATAAAATTGTGTAAATGTTCTCAGTGATATCAATGGGAAGTTATTCTCTGCTCCAATTTATAGAAGACTTAACTGGAGCATTCATAACAATAGTACCCACAATAATGAAGAAAAATGAGTAGCAAAGATAAATATAAACCACAAGAATAAGGCCTAATTACTTTGTGAATGCAAAATGCAGTTATATCCATGGCCATTATAGTTTTGAGAAATGGACTCCTATAAATTTAATGTGGGGAAAAATTTCAATTTCCTTAAAATACTTGTGTTTTGCTTTTATAGTGCCTAACTTTTTTTCTTTTACATTGTCTTACAGTTGCTAAATATGCCTTCTTTTCCTAAAAAGTTCTCCATGTTTTACAGAAGTTAAACTAGCTTAAATGTATAGCAATACTGTTTAAAACCACAAAAAATTGGAAATAAATTCAGACATTAATAGACTGTGATATATTCATGCAGAAGACTGTTGGTACAACAGAAAAAAATGAATTCTACATGTGTGAAAAAGAGCAGAATATGTGCTGCATACCATTAATGTATTTAAACAATGCCAAACATTATTATATTTTCTAATGGAGTAAACCCAGACCATATAGTAAACAATTAATGAGTCTGATAAAGGTTACTATGGGACTAATGGTTATCACATCCTATTCTCAGAACTTCTCTGTAAATTTAAAATTAGGTTAAAACTTATATTTTCTTTAAGGACTCAACTGTAGTGCAGTATAAAGAAATAAAGGATAATTATAAACACCAAGTTCAAGAGGTGGGGAAGAAAGGACGGGTAAGTAGGAAAAGGTGACAGATTCAACTGTAAAATGTTTACTACCCTCAGTGGTAGAGTGCTTGCCTTGCGTGCATGAGGCCCATGCACGAGGCCCAGCACTACATAAGCAGAAAAAGCTGTAAGTGGCACTGTGGCTCAAGTGGTAGAGTGCCAGCCTTGAGGTGAATTGCTGAGAGACAATACCCAGGCCCAGAGTGCAGGCCCCATGACAACAACAAAAACAAAAAAGTTTAAAATCCCCATCTGAGTGGTGGGTACACCACTTTACTCTTCTGTATGCCTTTTTGCATATCTTAAGTATTACATAAAACAAGCTGAAAATAAAAAATTAGTATTAGTCACTCAGAGCTTTTGAAAACTTAACCAACCCTGTTTGTGTATTATCTATAAATTTGTTTGAAAAAAATGACACATTGAGTTTCTTTTTAACAAGTCAAATTGTAGGCAGTCCAACTAATCAAAGACTAGCAAGCACAAAAGATTAAAAACTTTCCATCCAGTCTGAATGAGAATTGCTTTGAAACTGTGGTCCCATCCCTCCTTCTTCCTTAATTTCTCTGGCATTAACCTGTATAATGGAAAAGTTTACTAAATTCTTGAATCTGTACATATATTTTCCCCCACAAAAATGTTCAGTAGCGTGAGTAGGCTGAGTAGATTATAATTGTGATAGAGTTGATTAACATCAAGTCCTTGATTTTTATCAAAGAAAAAACTGAAGAGCAGAGAAATGACGTGGACAGGGCCTTAAAGCCACACAATTTGCTTAAAACTCCTTAAAAGCAGGGGAGATAAATCATGAACTTGTAATCTAGGGCTAAAACAGAAAAGGCATAACTGAAAGATTTTGGTTAGCAAACTAAGGAATACTGATATAATGTCAACCTTATATCATGTTATATTTTAATGCATTTTAATATATATGTAAATATGTCAGAATATATAACAATGTATTACTATAGCAATATGATATATTCACTATATTAATTATAATACATAGTATATAATGTACTTAATATACAATGTCCTAGTACAAATGTTTAAAGCAACTTCTCCTTTTTGGTTGGGGGGGGTTTGCAAGTTGGAGACTGCAATGTACAAATCATCCCACATTTAGTAAAACTATCGTGGGCCTATCATTCAGGCATAATGACGCTTTACAACCTAGAAGCTCTCACCTTTTCCTTCCTCTTCTAACTTTTCCTCTTTATACTTTTCAATCTTTTAGTGGTAATGATGTGCTAACAATTCTAATGCATATATGTGGTTTTCTTGATTAGAATATCCTCCTGTCCATCTGCAAAAATGTAACTGGCTCTTCAAAATTCAGCTTAGATATCACTCTCCCAGTGAAGCCATCTTTTGCTTTCTGGCTGGCTCGATCTTTTTTTTTTTTTTATTGTGAAAATACCATAAAGAGGGGTAAAAGGCTGGCTGGATTTTGTCCATTATGCTGTTGCACTGTTAGTATCATTTACTTAAACATCTCTCTCCCTTTTCAAAGATGAATGTACTGAGCATAAGGGGCTTGTCTTAATGACTTCAGGATTCTTGATAAGAGCTGCTCACTGTGGTTTGTTCCGTGAAATTAATGCATTAAATTTCTTTCCTTCTTTCTTTTTATTGGTCGTGGAGTTTGAACTCTGGGCCTGGGCGCTGTCCCTGAGCTCTTCAGCTCAAGGCGAGCGCTCTACCCCTTGAGCCACAGTGCCACTTCCGGTTTTCTGGTGGTTTATTGGAGATAAGAGTCTCTTGGACTTTCCTGCCTTGGCTGGCTCTGAACTGTGATCCTCACATCTCAGCCTCCCAAGTAGCTAGGATGACAGGCGTGAGCCACCGGCGCTGGGCTAAATTCTTTTTTTTACCCCCAGGTTACAAAATTCATGACAACTTCCCTGCTCTTGGGTTTGTACATAGTAAACCGGAATCTTGACTATTTTCTCTTTAGCTTCCAGAAGTCAGGCTTCAAGTGGCTACCGTCGCCTTGCCCAAGGCCGGTACAGCATTCAGCATTGTGGCTGTGATGCCTTGCCCACAGCTCCATGCAGGGTGACGCGGGCTTCCCGCGGAAAGCGGACGCCGCGCCCCAGCACCCTCTGGACAGCACGGAGGCGGGCACTGACCCCAGAGCTGCAGCTCACCTCGTCGCTGCGGTTGTGCGTGCCGTGTCCACGTGCAAAGCTGACACATCCCACGGTTACTGGGGGGAAAAGCTCTGACAAGGGGGTCCCGGCTTCCGCCGCAGCCTCTGCATTTCCCGCGGGGGCGCTGGGGCCCTCAGCTCCGGCCGCGGCCCCGGCCCGGCCCGGCCCGGCCCCGGCGACTCCCCTCGGACCGCACCCGGCCCCGGCGACTCCCCTCGGACCGCACCCGGCCCCGGCCCCGGCCCCCGCCCTCGGACCGCACCCGGCCCCGGCCTCCCCTCGGACCGCACCCGGCCCCGGCCCCGGCGACTCCCCTCGGACCGCACCCGGCCCCGGCCCCGGCGACTCCCCTCGGACCGCACCCGGCCCCGGCCCCGGCCCCCGCCCTCGGACCGCACCCGGCCCCGGCCCCGCGCCCCACTTACGGCTGCCGCTGCGCGCTCGCCGCTGCCCGATATGGCCTTGCGGCCGGGCTCAGCGACCTAAACAGACGCGAGGAGGGCGCTGGCGGCCGTCCGGGTGACAGGTGCGGCGGGTGGCGGCCCGGACCACGCGCCGCGCGGGCGCCGGCGCCAGGATAGACGACCGCGCCGGCGCAGGGCCTTCCCGCGCGAGCCCACAGGACGGCAGCGCCGCGAGGGACGCTCTGGGCCTGCGCAGGGCCTTCCCGCGCGAGCCCACAGGACGGCAGCGCCGCGAGGGACGCTCTGGGCCTGCGCAGGGCCTTCCCGCGCGAGCCCACAGGACGGCAGCGCCGCGTGGGACGCTCTGGGCCTGCGCAGGGCCTTCCCGCGCGAGCCCACAGGACGGCAGCGCCGCGAGGGACGCTCTGGGCCTGCGCAGGGGCTTCCCGCGCGAGCCCACAGGACGGCAGCGCCGCGAGGGACGCTCTGGGCCTGCGCAGGGGCTCCCCGCGCGAGCCCACAGGACGGCAGCGCCGCGTGGGACGCTCTGGGCCTGCGCAGGGGCTCCCCGCGCGAGCCCACAGGACGGCAGCGCCGCGTGGGACGCTCTGGGCCTGCGCAGGGGCTCCCCGCGCGAGCCCACAGGACGGCAGCGCCGCGTGGGACGCTCTGGGCCTGCGCAGGGGCTCCCCGCGCAATTCCACAGGATGACAGCTTTGTGGGACACTCTGCGCCTGCGCAAGGCCTTGCCGTTTAATTCCATAGGCTGACAGAGCCTCGTGGGATGCTCTGCGCGTGCGCAGGATGTTCCCGCGCATCTTTCGCTCGCCGCCAAGCCTCGCGGGATGCTGTGTGCGCGTGGTCTTCCCACCGAAGGACAGGCACCAGAGCGGCCGTGAGGGGAGTGTGAGGACGCGTTGAAACACGATTTGGAAATCAGAGGTGAAACGTGTGTCATTTAATCTTTTAAAATTGCACACCGGAGAGCTGGGAAGGTGGCTCAGTGGTGGAGCGCTCGCCGTGAGCCGAAGAGCTGAGGGAGCGCCCAGGCCCAGCGTTCAGGCCCACGGCCGACCAAACAACCCGGGCGTGCGACCTCAGGGCGCGGGGGCAGTGGCGGGCAGGACCGGGGGAGGCAAGCCTAAGACGCGCGCCCCGTTTTGCAGTATAAATGCGGCCCCACGTGGAAGTCGTGGGCCTGAGCTCGGGGCCCGGCGCGGCCCGCAGCTCTTCAGCCAGGGCCCGCGCTCCACCGCTGAGCCACAGCGCCACTTCCGGCTTTCTGGTGGTCCCCTGGGGTTGAGAGGCTCACGGAGTCTCCTGCCCGGGCTGGCTTTGAACCGCGACCCCCAGCTCTCAGCTCCCGAGTGGCTAGGATGCGGCGCCCGGCGCATTCTGCTCTCTAATGGCTTTGTGGCCCAGGGCCTCGCTGTTGGCCAGGCGGGTGCACTGCCACCTGAGCCCCGTACCTGGTCCTTTGGCTTTGATTACTTTTTGGTAGGCTCTCCCTTTTTGCCTGAGGCTGACTTCAAACCATGATCCTTCTACTTACACCTGCTGTGTAGCAAGGATGATAGGTGGCCTCCACCTACACCCGGCTTGTCTGCTGAGATGGAGGTCTCACTTTGCCCAGGCTGGCCTGGAGCTGTCGTTTACCTGATTTCTACCTCCGGAGTGGCTTGGGATGACAGACGTGGACTACCACGTTTAGCAAGTTTGCTCTTGTATTTGTTGCTGCAGCAGGCAGCCCTCCCTGGACCATCAGTTTCCGATTTTTCTCTGCTCCTCTAAAAGCGGGAAGTGGCCTTCACTCATGAGGATGGTGGAAGGACGACTGGCTATATGGTACAGGGAAAGGACGCCTCCCTTAAAAGAAGAGTCGTGTCAGGAATTGTGTCTCACACCATCTGTAATTCTGCCTATTCTTGAGGCTGGGATCAGGAGGAATGTCATTACAGAGTAGCCTGGACAAAAAGTTTTTGAGAGCTGGTCTTAACCAGTTAGAACAAAAAGCTGGGTGTGAGGCATGCACTTGTTATCCCAGCTGCGCAAAAAGTCTAGGAAGGCTACAGTCCAGGCTGGCCAATGCAAAAAGCAAGGCCCTATTTATAAAGTAACAGAAGCAATAATTACAAAGCAAAAGGGTAGAACATCTGCTTGGTAAGCTTAGGCCCTGAGTTCAAATCCCAGTAATGCCAAAAAAGTGTTACAAAATATTTACTGTTTGGATAAGGAAACGGTATTAAGTCAGTGGGTTTAAAACAAAACAAAAATAATGAGATCTGAAGATTGCTGTTCAAAGCCAGCCTGGGCAGGAAAGTCTGTGAGACTCTCATCTCCAATAAACCACCAGAAAACCAGAAGTGGCTCTGTGGCTTAAGTGGTAGAGTGCTCACTTTGAGCTGAAATGATGAGGGACAGCGCCCATGCCCAGAGTTCAAGCCCCATGACTGACAAAAAAATACTGCTTTTAGTAGTGGTAACACCAATTTGTTATCTTTAGTATTTTATAGCTCTGGAGGCCAGAAATACAAAATAGGTTCTCAGTGGTTTAAAATAAAGGTGTCATCAGGAATGTGTTGTTCTTTCTGTAAATTGTAGCAGTGATGTCTCCTTGCCTTTAACAGCTTCTAGAAGTAGTTCTCTCTCTCTCTCTTTTTTTTTTCTTCTGGTCGTGGAGTTTGAACTCAGAGCCTGGGCACTGTTCCTGACCTCTTCACCTGAAGACTTGAGCCATGGTACCACTTCTGGGTTTTTTGATGGTTAATTGGAGATAAGAGTGTCAGGGACTGTCCTGCTGGCTTTGAACTGTCTCCTGAGAAGCTAGTATTACAGACATCAGTCTGTAATCATAGTTCTCTTTCTTTAGCATAGAGTTCCTTCCTCCATCTTACAAGCCAGGATCACAAAGCTATGATTTTGGCAACATCTCTTAAAACATTTTAGAAGGTACATGCCAGTATTCTTGCATGCATTTGTATTTGAATTTATTTACAGTTATCTGAGGAAATTCTCGTAACCATTTCTCACAAACATCACAGTTCATCACTCTGATACAAACTCTTCTCTTTATGTCTTTGTATTGTTGTGATAAAATATGTGCTACACAAAATTTTCCATTTAGGGGACTGGCTTAGTGGTAGAGCGCTTGCCTTGCATGCCTGAGGCCCTGGGTTCAATTCCTCAGCACCACATAAGCAAAAAGAAAAAAGCCGGAAGTGGCGCTGTGGCTCAAATGGTAGAGCGCTAGCCTTGAGCCGAAGAGCTGAGGGATAGAGCCCAGGCCCAGAGTTCAGGCCTCACGACCAGACCCCCCAAAAAACAACAACAACAACAACAAAATTTACCATTTAGCCATTTTAAATATTCGATCTGGTGTTATTAATTATATTGACAACGTTGAAAAACTCCAAAGATCCATGTATTGAAGCGTGGTCTAGGTGGTGCTGTTAGGAGATGGTGGAACCCCAGGGTAGCCTAACAGGAGGTCCTTGGTCACTGGAAGCATTGGGAAGAATTGTTATTGACTGAAGGAAGGGATAAAAGATGTCCTCTTCTGCTTCCTAGCAATGCTGTAAACATTTTGTTCTATCACACACTCCCACTCCCCACCACTGGTAAACCCAGGTGCCACCAGCCACCCAAACCAGTCTTGGACTGTACCCCACAAAACTATGAGCCAAAGTAAAGCCTTTTGTCTTTATAAGTTAGTTATCTCAGATATTTCATTATGGTAATGAGAAATGGACTAACACAACCACCATCATTGTTTCCAGAAGTTTTTCATCATGCTGAATGAAAACTTTGTACTCATTAAAAAAGCAAAACAAATCAATTCCCACTTTTCCCTTTCCAGAAGCACTCACTAACTTATATTCTGTTTTCTGCCTTTCAATTTGCCTAGTTTGGGTGCCTTACATAGTCAGAAGCATGTACTACTTGTCATTTTATGTGTATTGAATTTAGCATAATGTCCTCAAGGTTTATCTATATTGTAGCATATCCCAAAAATGTCCATATTTTTCATGGTTTAATAATATTGCATTATGTCACTTTGAAAACAAATATGAGCCAGGCGTGATGGCTCATACCTAGAATCCTAGCTACTCAGGAGGCTGAGATCTGAGGATCATGGTTCAAAGCCAGCCCAGGCAGGAAAGTTTGTGAGACTCCAATAAACCACTCAGAAAACCGGAAGTGGTGCTGTGGCTCAAGTGTTAGAGTGCTTGCCTTGAGCTGAAATGCTGAGGGACAGCGCCCAGGCCCAGAGTTCAAGACCCATAACTGACAGACAAAAAAAGGAAAAGGAGAAAAAAAAGGAAACAAATATATCTTGGCAAAGCCCCTTAAAATGTTTTAGAAGGTATACATATCAATGGTGTGCTCTCTAATGCATTTGTATTTGAATATTTATTTGTAGTTATTTGTGGAAATTCCTCTCACCATTTCTCACAAACATCACTTGATCTATTAGACCCATCTAGATCTTTCTGTAATTGTTTCCATTCCTGTATTTTATGTATGAAGCTCATGAGTCTTTCTCAGCTTTCTTTGAAATACTCTGATTTCCTATTTGGCTATTTTATTTCACTGTTTTCATTTGTCTCAAGAGGAAGTGGGATATCACATGCAGAGTTGGAGCTTGGAGTCCTGGCTCTAAGTGACTTTAGTAGAGTCTCAAAACAATCATTTAATTATTAATGAAGTGTTAATATTTATCAGCCATATTGATTTACCAAAAACTAAGTCCAGGACACTTGAAATTGGGGGTTGACTTTTTTTTCTCTTTTTTTGTTTGGCAATATTGGGGTTTGAACTCTGGGTCTTGCTCTTGCTAGGTTGGTGCTCTTCCACTTAACACCTCTAGCCCAGTTTCTTTTTCTGATTATTTTGGATATCTATAGAGTCTGCAAACTGCTCTGAGCAGACCGGCCTTGAACTGTGGTTCTTCAGAGGAGCTAGGGTTACAAGCATGAACCGTCAGTGTCTGACTGGGTTTTGACTTCAAAAACAAGCTGGTGGCCACATGTTCAGTACTCGGGGAGCTGTGTGTGTGGGAGCACTGCTAGCTCTCGGGGAGCTGTGTGTGGGAGCACTGCTAGCTCTCGGGGAGCTGTGTGTGGGAGCACTGCTAGCTCTCGGGGAGCTGTGTGTGGGAGCACTGCTAGCTCTCGGGGAGCTGTGTGTGTGGGAGCACTGCTAGCTCTCGGGGAGCTGTGTGTGGGAGCACTGCTAGCTCTCGGGGAGCTGTGTGTGGGAGCACTGCTAGCTCTCGGGGAGCTGTGTGTGGGAGCACTGCTAGCTCTCGGGGAGCTGTGTGTGGGAGCACTGCTAGCTCTCGGGGAGCTGTGTGTGGGAGCACTGCTAGCTCTCGGGGAGCTGTGTGTGTGGGAGCACTGCTAGCTCTCGGGGAGCTGTGTGTGTGGGAGCACTGCTAGCTCTCGGGGAGCTGTGTGTGGGAGCACTGCTAGCTCTCGGGGGGCTGTGTGTGGGAGCACTGCTAGCTCTCGGGGGGCTGTGTGTGGGAGCACTGCTAGCTCTCGGGGAGCTGTGTGTGGGAGCACTGCTAGCTCTCGGGGAGCTGTGTGTGGGAGCACTGCTAGCTCTCGGGGAGCTGTGTGTGGGAGCACTGCTAGCTCTCGGGGAGCTGTGTGTGGGAGCACTGCTAGCTCTCGGGGAGCTGTGTGTGGGAGCACTGCTAGCTCTCGGGGAGCTGTGTGTGGGAGCACTGCTAGCTCTCGGGGAGCTGTGTGTGGGAGCACTGCTAGCTCTCGGGGAGCTGTGTGTGGGAGCACTGCTAGCTCTCGGGGAGCTGTGTGTGGGAGCACCGCTAGCTCTTGGGCCTCCAGCAGTTGCAATGTCTTTTCTTTTCGTGTGGTCCTTTCTGGGATTCTTGTTAGAAAAGCTCAGGCATTTTTGTTGGTGCCTAGCACATTGTGTTT